ATAGAAGTCACTGAGAAAATGGGATCCATTATGCAGCCAATTTTGCTGAAACATAACCATTCAGTAAATGCAAGGGTCCTCAAAGAGTTCTACAAATACACTGAGAAGAATTTTAAGTCTGTTATCTGTGTTCTTTAAGTTACTTTATTTCCAAGAAGTCAATGTTACATAATATTTCTTGACTAAGTTGACTGTGCCAGTAAAATACAGGGAGAAGTATTACTTCTGGACCTAGTTTCCACCTCTAAGGAAAGCCTTTCCATTTTTATAGCTAACATGACAAAATCTACTTTTCAGCCAAACTTCCTCAACACAGCAGTTTAGATACTATTTCAAATACTATTAAATTTAATAGCAGGCCTAAATTCAGACTTCTCATTTCACTTTTGCACCTACTGGAAATTATTTCACTCAAAATAATTATGTCTTCAGACGATTTCCTATTTCCACTTAAAGTGGAAACAAATTAGAACACTTCAAATTCTATTTGCACTTCCCAAACACAGTAATGACTCATTTATCTGGCATCGTCAGAAAAGGAGGTTCTCCACATGAAGCCTTTTCCAGATAACTGAAGTCCAAAGGAGTGGAGAGCTCATCTGCCTTGTTTGCTGCTGTGCCCCCAGGGCCCAGAACAGGGGCTGGCACACAGATGTCCAGTAACATTCACCAAACGTGATTAAATAAAGTGCTAAAGCTCTTTTCTTTTTAACCATTTGGTGACAACTTCTCTACAATTACAGCCATACCTCTTTAAAAAAACAAACAAAGCAATAACATAACACTGAACAGAAATTAAGCTTTTCTTATTTATTTGGGGGTATCTCTATAAACAGCAACCACTCTACCCTCCTACATTATAATGCCCTCTCAAAAGCTATTAAAATTCATACGGCTTTTTGTCACCATACTTAAATGGCATCAACATGCTAAGCTTTCTAACTTTTCCTTTTCTGATATTAGTTGTCATTTCTATTTGCTGTTCCTGCCTTATTTTACACACAAATGTCTGACAAGGTTCTAAAGTTAATTCTGCCTCCAAAGCAGAATAAAATACATGGACTTGGTTATAATTCAGAAGTCTTTTCCACTTACTTCTGACCTGTGTCTACATTCTGATTCTATTTAAAAGACTCCTTGCACCACCCACCACATTCTACATAAAATCTGAGATGGTTCTATTAGTTTTAAATGAGTATCTTAAGGATTTTCATTTAAGTTCTAAGTTTCAAATATTAATCATGAGTAATGGTTCAAAGACTAGCTCCAATATAAACCTCCGGGTATATTTTTTAATCCATTTAGGAGACACCAACCACGACAAAGCTGGATTTCATCTTGCTTGATATGCTGTGATAGGGCCATAATTTAAATTCACTGTTCCAAAGTTCATGGCAGCAAAAATCAAACACACTGGCAGCCATGGTATACTGTGCTTACACAGAAAAGCATATCTCCCTGAACCTAAGAGTGGAAAGGATAATTTAAGTATAGCATTTAGTTTATATAATACAACTGGAGTTTCTTCCCCACAACAAACTTTGAATAATGTTTATAATTTAGCAATCAACTGAAATGATGAAAGAATTACCACAATTGAAATAAAATATTTATGTATTTCAAACCAGTAGAATTGTGTCTTCAAAAACTAAAATAAGCTAAGACAAACCTAGTTCTGAATTAGGGATGGATACAAGTAAAACGGGGGATTTGTTTATTTGGGTTTTTGAGTCTCTTTTCTTCTTTTTAAAGATTTAATGAACTTTCATTTGAAATAAGCACAGTTTACTAAATTAAAGGATTTGATTACATATTCTTTAAAAGTAACTAGCTGGGTAAACAATACCCAGGAGTCAAGAAAAGAAAAATTACTTCAAACTGTTTTATGAATATTCTTTCAAAATCACCAATATTTCAACAAAAATAGTTCAACGGAAGATTTCAGTTCCTGGTACTGAACTGAACAAAGAGAACCACATGTTTTTAATGGTTGCTCATAAACGACCCAAATAAATCTCCAAAAGAACAGCAATGGTTCTTTCTGTACTTTTCCCTTCAAAACTCACAAGACCAATTCAACATAGAAATAAAAATTACTGTACTTTATGGCACCACTCACTTTGTGACACATTTATTTGCTGTCATGAAAGTTAGTGCCTCAACAAAGTAATTGAGATTTAGGGAAAAACTTTTTTTTACATTTTTAAACAGCACAAAATGTCCTTACAATTTGAGGCAGGAAGACTTTACCCACCTCAAATGAGAAGATTTTCTAACTAAGTGAGAGACCTAAGTATTTATATATAAATGTTACAAGAAAGCTTTCCAAATAGCTTTCCAATCAACTATGAGGCTGACCTTAGATCAGAATTACACTGCTAACTACCATTTATAAGAAATGAAGCCTACACAACAGAAAATATAACTTAAAATTTAACCACTGATGTTCTATTTTCCCTCTGTGAATTAAAAGAGAGCAACAGCACCCCCTGCTGGAAGTTAGTAATACAACCAGAATAAGCAGCAACACTAGACTGCTAGAATTTCATCCAAGATGAGAATGACTTCAAAAACAAATTCTGATTTCCCACTAAATGATAAAAGAGGTTCACGGGCATCAGCCATCATGTGCCTATACATGTGATATTAAAAGTAAAATTAAAACTTAGAATAATTTCAAATAAAAAGATACTGCTTTTTCTTCTTGGATGTGTCTCCTTGGGCAAGGGTAACAAAATTAAAAATAAGGCTTTTGCACAGTGAAGGAAACCATCAAGAAAACAAAAAGGCAACCTACTAAGTGGAAGAAGATACTTGCGTGGTTGTAATCCAAAATATATAAAGAACTTATAAAACTCAGCATCAAAAGAACACATAATCCAATTTAAAATGGGCAGAGGACCTGAACAGACATTTCTCCAAAAAAGCCATACAGATGGCGAACAGACATGAAAAGAGGCTCGACATCATTAATTATCAGGGAAAGGCAAGTAAAAACCACAACGAGATATTCTCTCACCTGTCAGAATGACTGTCATAAAAAAAGACAAGAAATAGCTAGTGTTGGTGAAGATGTGGAGAAAAGGAAATCCTTGTACACTGTTGGTAAAATTGTAAACTGGCACAGCCACCATGAAAAACAGTATGGAGGTTCCACAAAAAATTAAAAATAGAAATACCATACAATTCAGCAATTTCAGTTTGGGGCATTTATCTAAAGAAAGTGAAAACATTAATTTGAAAAGATATACACACCCTTATGTTCACTGCAGCATTATTTACAATAGCCACAATACAGAAGCAACCTAGGTGTCCATCCATAAATGAATGGATAAAGACAATGTGAGATTTACATATACATACAACATAATATTACTCAGCCATAGAAAAGAATGGAATCTTGCCATCTGGGGCATGGATGAACCTAGAGGGTATATGCCAAGTAAAACAAGTCAGAGAAAGACACCGTTTCACTTATATGCGGGCTCTAAAAAACTAAGCAACTGACCAAAACAAAGCAGACTCATACAGACTGATAGATGCCAGAGGGTTTAGTGATGGGAGGATGCGTAAAAAGGTGAAGGGGATTGAGAGGTACAAACTTATAGTTATAAATAAGTCACAGGATGTAACAGAGCCTAGGGAATACAGTAAATATCACAATAACTTGTACAGTGATAGATGGTTACCAGACTTCTCATAGTGATCACTTAGTAAGATAATAAATAAACGTCAAATCACTACACTGTATACCTGAAACTAATATAATATTGTATGTCAACTATAATTAAAAAGACCTTTACATCCCAGCCGGGTGGCTCAGCTGGGTGGCTCAGCTGGTTGGAGCATCGTCCCACACACCAAAAGGTTGCAGGTTCAATCCCCATTCTGGGTGGGAATTAAAGAATTAAAGAAAAAAAAAGATACTGCTTTTTCCTGTTCATGTTCCTAACCCCACACAGTCCCAAACACCCCAGTAAATTTTACCATTTTTTATTTTAACCCTAAATAAAAATTGTTTCAAATATGCTTTCTATAAAGAGAAACTGGCAATCACATAAGAGAAAATTGAGGCTATTTTCTGCATGTGATTGCATGAAGCACCCCTTTCTCCTTCCCACTCCAACTTGGCCTCAGAAACATCCCCAAAGACCACCATTAAGAATCCACAAGGCAGCCTAGTGGTCCATGAACCACAATTTGCATGCCACTGGCAAAATGCCTACACGGATTCTGAAATTCAAAAAATGCAGACAATATTAAGAAACCACATGTCATGAAACTACCATCTGGTACATTTCAACATTTTCAGAGATATGAAAAATCATGGAAGCCATTGTCTAGGTAATCCAACTCAGCGCTCTATACCAAACTCATAGGAATCAGAGAATGAACAAAAGGTACTCAAGTTTTATAAATGTGCTCTTTTGGCTCTAGAAAAAAGGCTCCTTGGTACCACTGAGTTTCCTTCTTAGAGAAAACAAGCTACTCTAGCACTGATCTACATTGTTCTGAGTGACTAGTGTTAACTTCTTGGCTCCTTGCTCCATCTAAAAGATTCTGTTGACCTGTGGCCAATGTGGAGGACACTCTTCATCATGAAGGCCAGCAACTCTGAAAATCCAACAAAGAAAGAAAGCCAAAGAGGATCAAACACTTCGGTGTAGTTTTCCCTCAAGAACTGCAAAGGCAAATCACCTCAACTCTATTTTTCTGAAGTTTCCAGTGGTATTACTTGGTTCATTATTTTATTTTATTTTTGTAATATATCTTTACTGATTTCAGAGAGGGGGGAGAGGGAGAGAGTCATTGATCGGCTGCCTCTTGCACGCCTCCCACTGAGGATCGAGCCTGCAACCCAGGCATGTGTCCTCACCAGGAATCGAACCTCGATCTCCTGGATCATAGAGGTCGATGTTCATCCCCTGAGCCACACCGGCCAAGCGGTTCATTATTTTAATCAAAGTACATTTAAATTAGAATGTTAAAAGGATACCAACCTCAAGCCTCTTCTCAAGTGACTCAATTCTGTCCTTTTTGCTTGCTAGGTTGGCCCGTGTATAGCGGCTCTGCCCAGGGAGATACAAAACTTGACTGTAGCATTCCTCCCACACCTGGTTATAAGCTTCACTTGAGAGTTCTCCATGGCTCATACCTTGTTTTACCACTTCCATCTCCTGTGCCAGAACATCTTGGGCCTGTTCAAGATAATAATTTCAGTAAGTCTGAGTACTAGAAAAACCTGCCATCAACAGAGAGCTTTAAAAGACTAGTTTTTCCTCCTTCTTTGGACGAAGGCAAGGAGTTCTAGTTGACTGGTTGCTTCTTGGAAGGGAGAAACAACGCCTAAACAAAATGAATAATGAAGCCTGTAAGCCAATGCAGACTGGTCTGAAAAGTCAAGCACCCATATAGCCCCAATAATATAAACATCCTTTGCCTTCACTCATTATAATAACAGCTACCATTTCTCAGATGTCTACTGTGTGCCAGGAACTGGATTTAATGGTTTTACCTATATTACCTCCAAATAACACAATCATCTTAGAAAGTAGCCAATATTAACCTCATTTTAAAGTTGATGAAACTAAGGCTCAGAAAGATTAAAAGGCTATTCAAGAACATATCATTAGTTAGCAAGCAAGGCAGGATCATGACCAAGCCAAAAATCACTTGAGTGAGCTTCCATTCTACCATCCCTATCTACACTTAGGACCTCACAGGATCATGAAAGGGAATTAGGCAGTTTTTTAACCCAGGCCTTTTTCTCATTTGAGAGAATTTCCCTGACACTGCTAGAGAATGAGATTGGGGGCAGAAATCAAATAATGATGGATCACAAACCAGCTTTAGTTCACTACTAAAGAAACAGTTTAAAATGACAGAATGAGGGGGAGTTGGACAAGCCTGGGTTCAAACCACAGCTTTACCATTTTAAGTAGTTGTCTGGACATGCTTAACATCTCTGAACTCATTTCTCATCTCTAAAATGGGGATAATACACAGAGCGCCTAGCCCAACACTAGACTGGGTACCGACTCTGTGAGCATACCACATGGACTTCTTCCAGCCCTCTGCTTCATGGCTCGTGAAAAACTGACAACCACTTTTTGTGCTTTATAGAAAGCTCTCAGTCATTCTAACTAGAAATCATTCTTACTATCATATCAGAAAATAAACAGAGATCAAAATACATAAAATTAAAGAGAAATGATCAGCATACAAAAAATTTAAACAAAAAATATAAAAAATGTCTAAAGAAGATAAAAAATTGATACTTTTAAATAATACCTCTTAGACGAAATAACAGAAACCAATTTTAACATACTTAATGAAAATTTGACACTTTACTGTAAGAGAAATGGTATTCTACTCTGCAACTGTACATAATAAAAGTTTACAAGTTCAGCTCTTATAGTTATTACAAGAAGGTAGAGCTAAGTTATCTTTAAACTGCCCATAAAGGATCTGCTAAGTAAACAGCTGCTTCAAGTTCTTTTTGGAACAAACAGGATGATAAATAAATAAAATGTGGGAAAATATTTAAACTAATTTAACGGTTTTAAATAATTACAAAGCACTATTTACAATTACTACTTTCAAAAATTTTATTAGAATGTATCCCCTACAGAATCTCTGAGAGAGAAGGAGGGAGGAAGGAAGGGAGGGAGGGAGGGAGGTTGGATGATGTGAGAAACATCAATCAGCCGCCTGTATGTACCTGACCAGGGAAAAAACCTGCAACCTAGGTGCGTGCCCTGACCAGGAATGGAACCCACAACTTTTGAGTGTACAGAATGATGCTCCAGCCAACTGAGCCACACTGGCCAGGGCAAATGTGATCCTCATTTCAGGTGTCCATACATACAATTAATTTAGAAAACCTTATTTCCTAAATGCTATCTTCCCTCATGTTTTTACTCTAAAAAGAGAAAACTGTTCAAGTATCAAGTTCATAGTCTAATTCTCAACCCCAGTTCAATGATCAAATGTGCCTACCACAGCACAGGCACTCAACAGATGTCAGTTTCCCACTGCACTTATTTTAAAGAAGTAACTCAAAGTTCCTCATAAATTAGGGGCAAATTTTGAAATATAAATCTAAACCCTCCTCCCTTTCTCTATTTTCTAAAATTCCTATAATAAACATGTATCACTTATAAACATGTATCAAGAATAAACATGTATCAATAAGAAAAAGACAAAGAAAGAAAAAGAAAAAGGGAGAGAAAAAGTGCAGGAGAGAAAACAGAAAAAAGAATCGTATTTGTTTTCTCCCAATTATACATTTGCACATTCCAATCAATGGGTCTATCATTGCCCCTCAGGGATAAACACTAAAGAAAAAAGACTTTTAAGCTAATGACCACTCTGCTTCCAACCATGAAACCAATTGTACTTTCTTACACCATTGTACAGATTTCTGTTCACAATCACAACTGTTTGCTCTGTCAGAGGAGAAAGAATACATACAGAGGAAGAGGCAGGACAGGCTTTATGCAAAAAATATTTCTTTCCTCATCCAAAAGAACAGGGGAAAATCATGTGAGGGAAATAAATTCAGTAAAAAATATTTCCTTTCTTTGAATAGGTAAAAAGTTTAATCTGTAAACATTTAAATATAGTATTATTTTTTTATATTAGTCTAAATAAGTGCGGTATAAGTATTAAAGGCATTCGATTCTATTCAGAGAGCAGAGTTAAAGAGAGAAAACAGCAACTGTAGCAACTGTCAATCAGGCACAAACCCATTAAACAAAAACACCCTGCCACCAGAGCCAGTGTTTAATAAAGGTCTATCACTGAACATAACACTTAATAGGAACATTTATCTCCTAACCATGTCAGCTGTTTATGAATATCAATATGGGAAAAGAAGTTAATATTTGTCTGTGATACACAGTATCAACCAACTACTTAAATCTCAAGACAGAAATATTCCTGCTCAATCATACCTTCTTCAGCTCTTCTTTAGCAAACTTTTCATAAGGGTTATGTTCCAGATAGGCAATGTGCTCTGAATTATTGGTAGCAAATCCTACAGTTTTTCCTTTTTTATTTCCAGATGGTTCATAAGGGTGATGTAGAAGGTCATAATGAAGCATTGTGATCATTTCTTTTTTTATTAGTTCTTCACTTTTCTGTAAATCTGTTAACGGTGGTTCTACATTTAAGGGTCTTAGAATAGTTTCATTAACCTAAAATTGTAAAATAAGTAAAATTACCAAACATATCACTGCAACAGATTAACATTATTACTTGTTCTAGCATGAATTAAATAGCAGTTATACATTTTCAAAAGAAATCCTTTTTTTTCCTTTTTAAATTCTTATTTACCAGTGACTAGATCTGGGAACTGCTTCACAATATTCCAGAGTAGATAAAATTTTGTTTTATGGACTTTATGAATGATATTTTAAAAAGCATCAATCACATGAAAAGAAACTTAAAACTTTCTCAGCCAAAAATTCTGCACTTACTTCTGATGGTCTTGGAAGATCTTTTTGGACAGCTTTGTGCATTCTCTTCATTTCCTTTACACGCTCTGCATCTCGTATGGCCTAAAAAATTATGTTGATATCCATTACTGCAGTTATACAGTACTCAACACATTTCAATAAAGTTGAAAACACTTTAATCTATAAGAACATATATGTTCAAGAGCTAAAGCTACAGACATCTGTAAGTTTGTAGAAAGGCCATATAAGGCAACAGAGATTAATTCATCTATTCATTCACTCAGTAAAACAGAAACTAAGAACTTCCAACATCTACTAGAGTACTCTCCAAATTTATATGCCTGTATCCATCGGATAATTATCCTTTTCTTGTATAAATCAGAATCCTAAACTTCGAGTGGATTATTCCTTCTGCAACACAACCCTTTTTGTCCACCCCAAAGCTACCATTATTTTAATTTAAAAATCCAGCCAATGAGTGTAGTTTCCTGATCCTCAAATTATGAACAATATGGAATAACACATTAGAATTTCACACTATTTCTGACTAAATGTATCTCAAAGTAACTAAGAGAACTAAATACAAAAAGTACTATTCTGTATTCCCATCTAAAAGCACATTCATGTTGTTTCCTCTAAAATATGATTTCCAGTGATATCATTCTCACTGCAATCCCATGAAATTATTCAACTTCTAAAACCATCCTGAACTATACTGAGGAGGAATTCCTGAAAGGGAATTCACTCGATCTCAGTTTTAGTTCAAGACTCACCACTTTCCAGCCATGAGACCTGGGAAAGTTAACTTAATTCACCTGAGCCTGTTTCCTCATTTCTAAAATGAAGCTAATACAGGTACTTATCCTATTTACATCACATGTGAGAATGAGAAAGTAATTAACTACAAGACATATTAGTACAAAGCGTTACTATTATTATTCTGGCACACTTTCTCTAAATTTCCAAATCCACATTTTTTTATTAGTTTACACTGACCTAAAACCATTTACTCAACCAATCCAAATGTACTTGTTTTTAAGACTGATCAGTAACACTCTTTCTTGACTAGAGTAAAAAGCAATGTCTAAAAGACTACTGTGTATTTTAAGAAAGCATAATGAATTGTACAAAGGGTATTTAAACTGACATATATATACACATGTTAAGAATGCCTACCAAGATATTCTGAGTATATCATTAATTTTGTGATTATATACTATTAACAATATAAGTAATTTATGGTAATTCTTTTAAATACTGAAAAAAACTTTTAGTAGAGATCTTGAGACATTTAATGGCCATTCTTCATTCTTTCAGCGCAGTGACACATTCAGCAAACTCACACTTCCTTCCTTTCCAGCACGATGACCCACCTGCTTTCGTGCATCCACATCAGCAGCATCTTCAATGTATGTATCATCTATTTCACGGTCTTCCAACTCCTTCTCAGCATTTTCTGGTAGAACAATTTCAAAGTCATTCTTAGGGGCAGGAAGACCCATCAACCCTAAACGGAGGTGTTCACGAGACTCTCTTTCCTGTAGAAAAAAATTAGTCCTTCTCAATTCATAAACATTAAGTATTCAACCAATACTTTATGAGTTTCTAAAAAATAATCAGCCTAATTTTAATTCTAGAAAATGATCCCTAACTTCAGAGCTGAGAAAAGTTTTTAAATTTCTGTTTCTTCCTTACATTAAGACAAATCAATTTGAAATCAGTGAAGTTACTCTGGGATATTCTAATAGAAGACTTGGGAGTACTTCTGCAGGGGCAAAAAATGTCCTATTTCTATTTAAGAAAAACATTTCTGACACAAACTTAACAGCAAATAAAAGAACAAGTTCAAAAGTTACTTTATCTTTGGGCGAATAAAATCTAATCTGAAAAATATGCCTGAATTTGGGTGTGTGTTTGTGTTTAATAGAAAGACTGTATCATATGCCAGGCTAAAAAACAGTCCAATGTGGTCAGTTTTCCTCAGTATATCGTTGGCTCACTTTTCCAGTTCACTCCCCACTGCTTCATTATACCTGTTAGGTGTAAAAACCAGATGAGTTGCTAAAAACATGCTCCACACATACTCATGCTGTGGCCTCCATCTGGGACAGCCACCACCTTCCTTCTGAGCATACCTCGTCAACGAAGGCTTTCCTAATACCCACCCAACAAATATTATTTCTTTCTTTGGCCACCCTAAATAAGCATACTGGTGCTTACTTTGTTCTTATATTATAATTATTTTTAACTTGGTTTAGTACTGCCAATCTCTCCAGAGTATAAACTTTAAGACAAAGAACATCTTTACTCAACTTTAGATCCCCTGAAGTGTCCAGATCTGTGCTTTGCACACATTACATTCTTCATTTAATTCTTATGTAGCAATTCAGAGTTAGCATTAGTTAGTATCAATTTTGGCATTAAAAAAAAATCTAGCCCAGCCAACATGGCTCAGCAGTTGAGCATCAACCTATGATCCAGGAGATTGAAGTTCGATTCCCAGTCAGGGCACAAGCCTGGGTTTCAGGCTCAGTCCCCAGCAGAGGGTGTGCAGGAGGCAACCAATCGATGACTCTCTCTCACCACTGATGTTTCTATCTCCCTTTCTCTCTCTCTCTCTGAAATCAATAAAAACATATTAAAACAACAAAAAACTCTAACCAAATCTATATAATAAAGTTAGAATTTGTAAACTGAAAATGGGCCAACATCATTGGAACTTATTATAAAAATAAATATCTCACAATGATTTTCTGTGGCATCACATAATAAGGCAAAATAGTGATGTAATAAAAGCAGTAACATGGGCAGAGCGAAACTGCAACTTTTATAATTACCTTTCTACATCACCATGCAAAACATATGAAAAAAATCTTCACTAAGATCAGCAATAAACATCAAATTAACTTGGCTTTGAGATATAGATGTGTCCTTGCAGAAGTACAGAGCTAACAAGAATCAAGGGTCTAAATTTGATTTGAGGCATTCGAAACTAATGATTTATTTTACAGAAATAAAAAAATTTTAAATAAATGTGTCATTCAAGAAAGTATTGATTAGTAAATGATAAAAATTAAAATAAAAGGTACAAGGAGTATTACTATAAACATAATCAATACTCACAGACATATTAAGAAAAAAAAGGCATATGAGATTAAGTTTCCCTTCTTAAGTACTGCAAATTATTTTTCTTTTCTGATATCCATAGGTGTATAGATTCTTAAGATATATGTAATATGCACTGACTGGGGAGGGAGGAAATTTTAATTTGGCACTCCTAAGATATAAAAAAAATTTTTAAGAGTATTAAAAAGGAATTGACATGTACCATCTGCTTCACATAAGAGGGATCACTGTAATCTGCCATTCCATCCTCAGGATTAATGTTTAACTTGTCTCGAAGAGGAGTTCTACCCGGGGTGGAGTTAACAACTGGTTTGGGAGTTGTTCCACTCCGGGGAGTCAGCCCTTCAGATCCATGAGAGGGAGTCCTAGAAAGACAAAAATTCTAATTAATAAAAGTGCCACTTTTATTTGTATTGTGCTTTCAATTGTTTTTCACTTAAGTTATTTTACAAGGAACGCAATAAAGACTCCAGAAATTCTGTCTCCCTACCTGGTTTTAGGATTAGATCTCTAGGTTAAAATAAAGGTTTGGCTCAGCTAGCTTATTATTTACACACAGTATTTTTATTTTAATGACTTCAAATAAAGGCATTACATGACATTTCTTGCTTTCCTAAACTAGATCCATCAAACATCTCAACTTTTTCTTGATGCAGTAGGGCGGCTAAGAACACACAGTGGCCAGAGAGGAGAGCCATCACAGTCAAAGACCCCAGGCTCTCAGTTTGAGTTGAGGGTCTTCATCTGGTCATTTCTATGCTCCCTGCCTCTACTGGCTATCACATCATTACCATCAGTGTGCATACTGTAAGTAGTTCCTCTCCTCATATTTTCTTTGGAATCATATCTAAATATGAATAGTTGTGAGTGAGAACTAAGAGAATCTCTTAGGAATAAAGTCCATAGCCTTTGCAACTTAAATTTTAATTGTCCAAAGCCTTTTTTTATTTTGGTTGCTTACTTCCTGTATCTTGGGTGTGTTCCAGACAGGTGATGCTGCCAGACAGCTGCTCCCCAGAGGTGAAGTGAGGTGTTATCATACAAGACATGGTCCCTGCCCCCAAGGAGCTTACAATCTAGTTGAAAGACAAGACATACACAGGAAAAGAGGGATTAGGCTCTCTTACAAGCCTTGCAAGAAGTGTTACTATATAAGGATTTGGCTGCCAATGTTTCTTGATCCTGCTGTCATGTACGGCTCTAATAGCCATATGCTTCCCATCTAAACAACCAGTGGGGGAACATATCCTAATGTTTAAAATTAAAAGTAAAGCTCTAGCTGGTTTTGCTCAGTGGTTAGAGCATTAGCCCTCAGAAAGAGGGGTCCTGGATTCGACTTCAGCCAAAGGCGCATACCTCGGTTGCAGGCTCCAACCCCAGTTGGGGCAAGAGCGGGAGGCAGCCAATCAATGTTTCTCTCTCTCCCTTCTACTCTCTCTGAAAAGCTATGGAAAAAATATCCTCAGGTGAGAATTAAAAAAAAAAAAAAAGTAAACCCCAAGTATTTCCAACCTTTAAAAGCTTAAATTCCATTTAATACAACTTGCTTCTATAATGTTTGTATCTTAATAATTCTTTAAAATAAAAGAACTGCAAACAAATACTGAACTCTGAATTATAGTTAATGATATAAACAAGGAAGTGTGAAATAAACTGATATCTGCAAATTACTCTGAAATGTATTACAATAAAGTAGATTGATAGATGATGGATGGATATGTGATAAAACAAACACAGTAAAATGTTAACAACTAGTTAGAATCTAGGTGGTAGGTATGGGGAAGTTTGCTTTACCATTCTTTCAACCTCTCTGAATGTCAGAAATTTTCATAATAAAATGTTGGGGGGAAAGCAATAGTATACATACATAAAAAGGATTATGATTTTTATCAAATTCACCAAATGATGATTAATAACAGATTGATCTGCTCTTTTAAATCAGATAAAAAGTATTCAGAAACAGGGTGTTAGCATCAGAAACTCTACAAAAAGAGGTAAGCTCCATATAGTATTTAACCATTTCCTGGATACTATTATGTTATTTACTAATGTGAGGAAAAATCAAAAAGGCAAGTTGATCATTTATTTCCATTCTCTGTTAACATTACTAAAGCAAACATGTTGTCCAAGTCCTCAAATTCAAGTTTATCTAAAACAGAAAACATGTGCTTATTTACAATACCTGAATGGGGTAGAAAGAACTGTGTTTGGAGTCTGTACAACCTGTCGCTGTGGAGTCACACCTGAGAAATCACTCTCGTGCAAAGGTGTGTTAAGTCCACCTTTTAATGGGGTATCCACATTGGTCAGGGCCATGAGGTTCTGGGCTTCCTGATTAATGAGAAAATAAAGTATTTTAAAAGTTTAGACAGAAGACAGAACAATCCTCTCTTCTGGTTCTACTATACAAATCTTAAAACAGGCAAAATTCTTATACATTTTCTCAGTGAAAACCAAAAGAGAAATGACTACTGGACCATGGCAGATTCGATACTTCCATTCCTTCTGTCAACCTAACATAGCACCTCAAAAGCTTAAGGGCAAAGTTTTATATGTCAAGAAATGCTTTTGTGGCCTCGCATGTGACATTACCATTTACCCAAAAGCCTCTCCAACTACCTGCACCAAACCTCTCTATAATCATAAAGAACTAAGAATTCAAATTTCCCAATGTGAGCTTAGGCTAAATGTCAGAACAACTAAACTTTAATCTAGCTTTACCATTAATTGTATATCTAGTCTTCATTAGCCTCTCTGAATCCCAGATTCTCCTACTGGGAAGTTAAGACACTACCAACTGGCCTATCACTTCATAAGAAAACTCATGTGGGCAGGCTCCTTTCTGAAGTCTTGCTTGACCTCAGTTCCTCCACTGTAACCCTGTACTCATTACTATCACTGTACCTACACATCTCTTAATACCCAATTTAGCGTCTGTAAAGGATAATTTTTAAAGATAGTCATAACCATTATCTCTCATCTCACATGCTCTTGTTATAATCCAACCTTGACACTCCTTCCATTATGAGGTGGAGTCTACGTCCCCTCCTCTCGAATCTAGGTGGATTCACTTATAACTAGCAGAAAGCAGCACTAAATGACACTGCCTGACTGCCAACGCAAGGGTGAAAAAAAAATGCGGCTTCCCACCACACTCACTACAACACTCACATTGGAGCTCTGAGAGGCCAACTTTTGATGCCACCGTACTGTGAGAAATCCCAAGCCACAGGGAGAGGCCGCGTATACTTATTCCACATTTCCAGGTGAAGACCCAACCCACAGCCAGCATCAAACACCCAACAAGGAAAGAAGATGATTCCAGGCCTTTCTATCAAGTAGTCACCCACAAATGTTGATTCATCCTAGCTGAGGCCCTATGCACAAACCATTCTTTCTATGCCCTGTCTGAATTCCTAACCCACAGAAAGCATGAGTATAACACAATGTTTTAAACGACTAAGTTCTAGGGCAAAATGAAGATAACTGGAACAAGGCTTATTCCATTATGCACCATTCATGAAAAGAACCTTACATTTCACATTATCAACTGTGTGAGTTCTTTTTGCTATTCCAAATACAAAGCATTTTTCCCCATCTAGGTTCCCAAAAGGCTGGCCAGCTTGATGCCTTCCAGGCAGGAGAATGGAAGCTACTTAAATAAGAAAATGTAAGGTTGATAAAGAGGCCAGATCAATGAAAGGGAGAAAATTATTAAATTTCAAAATACAGTAACTTCCCAGAATTGAAGGCCATGAGTCTTTCTAGAATGAAAAGATCCAGAGTACCTAGCACGCACCATGGTTAAAAACAGTCCCACACCAAGAAGCATGCTTGTGAAAAAGAGAAGCTCACATAAACTTCCAGAAAAAGAACAGGCACCAGAGGTCTCAACAGTAACAATGGAAGCTAGAAGACACTGGAGTGCTGCCTTCAAAACTGAACAAAAATCATTTCAATTTGGAATTCTAAACAGTTATACTACCAATCAAATAAGAAAGTAGAATAGTAATTCAGAGATCCGCAAGGTCTTAAAAATTCCATCTTCCATGAATGCTTCCTGAAAAAGCTACTGAAAGGTATGCTTCACTAACAAGGGAGTAAGCCAAGAGAGCCAAAGGCAGGGGAGCCAGGAAAGAGGACATCCAAGGGCATTTCTAGGGTGACAGTGAAAGGAAATCAAGAGAAGGAGCTGAAAACAAGATCTAAAGAGTAATCAGTTCAGACCAGAACATTCAGAATTTCTGGGAAAGTCTTCTTCAAAAAGATAAAAATACCTAAAATTTACCCAGATCACAGGAGATTTACAGTTAATGTAGAGTCTTAAGTTGAATTAGTGCTAAGTAATCAGAAAATTTAACAACAGAATAAAACAAGTATTAACTCAAAGAAAATCAAAATACTGTGCAGTAATTATAAGGCACTTCGTGGTTCAGCACGGACTACATAGCCATAAGATAAACCACGACTGTGGAGCTAACCAAAATTATGATACAACTATAACGGAAGATGAGGGACTGGAAAGAGTGTGTATGCACGGCAGAGGCAGAGGATGTAAGGGAGACAAATGTTCAAATTCTGGGTGGAAAACTATGCCTAAAACCAAACAAAAATCAACATGTAACAAGTGTCTTAGCAATAAGGTGGTAAAGACAGAGAGTTGTAATTGGTGCCTCTAGAGAGCAAGTGACAAGGGACACAACTTTTTTCTTACTAAGCCATACAGGATACTTAATTCCTGAATCAAGACCTTACAACAGTGTTTCTGACTACTAGAGAAAAGGAAATTGAGATGGAAGGCTAGTAAGACTCAACAGTGTTTTGTCAAGTTTGGCTATTCTCTGGCATGCAGACACCCCAAGAACACAAAGAGCTGTATACCTCAGGTGTTAAGGGGAGGGAAGGAGGTAGTACTGACGGCAGCCTATGCCAAGCAAAGTACAGAAATGCAGGGTAGTTTTAAAAATTACTGACTACACACATCTGACTTCTTTCAAGGATTTCAATTTTAAATGCAGTGCTTTTTACTGACAGGTACTAAATACTAATGAAGGTAGAAGGGCTGGCTTCAAAAAAAACCACTATGAATTCATAAATGTAGAAAGAAAACCATTTAATTACTGAATCTGCTGACTTAGCTTCCCTACTACAGAAATCTCTAGGATCCATGCACTCAGGATTCAACCTGTTTACTCTAAAAGAAACAAAACCAAACCACTCAATGTTCTGCTTCATACTTTCAAGAACAAAAAGTGAAATGCTCACTCTACTATATGGCAGCTTACCTGCAGAATTCTGTCCTGTGAAGCTGGCGTTCGTGGTGTTCTAAGGGCAATGCTGTTGTTGGTGACATTGTACTCAGACAAAAGGGTACTGGAAGCAGAGTTTGTAATGCCAGATTCCTCAGCTGTTTGACGTGCAATTTCACTTGCTTGGCCTACTTTCACAACTTCCTGGAGTTCTGCATCTGAAATCTAAAAAGACAAAGTTATCACAGCAAGCAATATTTTAACCAGAGGACACCACAACTTAAAAATTCCATATTCCAGAAAGATAAATTGCTGAAGCTGTGTGATGAATACACGGTTCACTGTACCACTGTCTTTACTTTTTGTGGGTTTGAAAATTTCCACAATACAGTTTTTTAAAGTCTTTCCTATATAAATGTGTG